AGGAGAAGGAGGAGGAGGAGGAGTAGGAGGGGGCAGCAGCAGCCGCTCCTGAGGGTGAAACCATGAGCATGTCTCAGCTGTACGGAGACTGCTTCCTGCTCCCTGATAACCATGAGTGGCAGGAAGAACCATCAGTCACCATACACTTAGTGCCACTTAGCCCCTCCATTTCACGGACTAGCACAGATAATGAAGCGGAGGAGCTGGAGGGTCAGGAAGAAACCCATGCGGCCAATACATCATCTACTGTTACTGAGACCTGAGAACATACTGAACCCAATAAGTTTCCTGTAATGTGCCTCTTGCCACTGCCAGGCAACACCTGGGTTCATGCTGGTTGGGTTTGGGGCCCCGGGGGGAGGAGAGAAATTCATGTGTTGCTGAAGGTGGGTCACCATGTTCTTTCGGTGGTGGTGCATGACGGGTTTGATAGTTCGTAATGTAACAGACACCAAACTAATTATTTGCTTTAATTAATTTTTTGTAGCTAGCATGGGCAGTGGCGGCTGTGGACCAGTTCCAAACCGAGTACTTGTAAGTTTTGGGCAGTACAAGTGGTGCCCCACTGTTGCAGGGTCTATTTCTGTGCCTACTGGCATTTTGTGCACTGCATGGTGGTGGGGTGTACTTTCCTCTTCTTGTGGGGAATGCAACCATTGCTTTTTTCGTTGTTTATCAGACACCGCAATTCATGGCTGCCCAGAATGGTGCCCCACTCACACTACAGCAGAGTGCTGCAGAGATTTTCGCAGCAAGCAGAGATGGTCCCGCAAAACCTCGCTCAAGGTTTTGGCAGACTCCTCAGTAGCCAGAGCGGAACACGCAGATGCCTGGCAGAACGAACTCCATGAGTTGCTGCGTAAAGATGATGCCATCCCCAAGGAAGTGAGAGACACCATGCAGAATTTGAAAGGTGTGGTCAATGAGTCCCACGTTGAATTTACAGAGGTCACAGGACATTTTCAATGACGTCTTTCAAAGTGTGCAAAAGTACATAAATAGATGGGTATGATGCCCAAAAGGGAGAAGTCAGTCTGCTCATCTTGCCTCTTTGCAAAACAAGCATAGAATTACAGCTGAGCCTGTTCCCCTTAACTCAGTGGGGTCACAGGAAGGCCGTATGACTGCCAGCAGGGCCAGGAGGGCACCACTGTATTTCAGGAAGACGGGTGGTTCAGGGTCATGGTGGGTGAAGACAAAGAAGCACAAGTAATTAGTGTGGTGCAAATAATAAAACCTTATGGTTTCCTGGCTTTCTGTGTCTGCCTCCATATCCACCCTTACACTGCTTGGTTGCAAAGGTAGATTTCATTCATTGTTTGGGTTCATTTCTTTGTTTGTTTTACCTGCCACTTGCTGCACGGTGCTGGGGAGAACGGGTTGGCAATCTCTCTTGCACAGGTACACAGGGGGGCTCCAGAGGTAAACAGGGGGGCTGCCTGGATGGGTCGCAACACACAAGTGCTGGCCTGCACACCAGCATTTTGCAAAGGCAGTGGCCACTCTGCAAAGTCACTTTTGAGGCCATACCTTAATTTCACCTCCCTTAGTTGGGAGAAGGGAAGTGGTGTCACTCCCCAGCAGCCTGGCTTGCTTTTTTGCAGGTCACCAGCCACTTTGCAACGTCATCCACTGGAGTTCATGCCTTCCCAGGCTCTTTGGCTCACCCTTCACAACCCTCCCCTGCATTTTCCCTAGATGGAAACTTTGAAAATGCACTTTTTCAAGATTCTTTTCCTGCTCTTTTCCAACTAGGTGCCAGGCACTGTCTCCTTTGTTTTGGAACACCAAAGTGAGGCCATGGGTGGGGGCGTGGCATGGGATTTAAGACCTGCTTTGCCTGCACACAAACCCAGGGACTTTGCAAACATTTCCGCCTTCTTTTGCATTTTTTTTCCAGCCCGGCGCCAGAGTGTCTGGGTTTTTTTCCACACCAAAACGAGACTTCCAGTGGGGGCGGGGGTTGCCCTGCTCAAGCACTATAAATTGGGGAAGCAGAGGTCGGGCTGTATGTTCGCTGTATCGACAAGAGAGGTTTGAGGTGAGTGAGGGACGACAGCACAGCGGGAGTAGAGAAGGATTCATTCCAGTCACAAGAGTTGCCCCTAGGGGGTACAGCAATGCGAATCCAGGGTTTGAGAAGACTGCAGGCTGAGCAAGTGAGGTGCACTGAAGCTCCAAATGCTATTTGATGCCTGCACCTCTGTGACGTGGGACTCGAAAGAGGACACGGCGATGTGCTACATGCCACCTTTGGTAAGTGACATCTGACACTTGTCTGTGCCTTGAGGGTGGCAGGGTCATCCCTAGAAAGGGGCGGATACAAGTGACTGCCCTGGGCACAGCACTTTGGGGGCCCCACAGAGATGGGCAGAGTGGATGGGGCCATTCCTCAGTGCCACCACAGGCCCCACATCTCGACGCTTGTCAACTCCCCTCCACCATCGCCGCCATGGCGGTTTCAATGGCAGAATGGGGGCGGGGAGTGAGCAGTATGGAGTGGTAGCATTCCCCTCGCACCTGCCAGTGGTGTTCCCTTTGCATCTGTGCTGGGGTGGCTGCACTGCCCATCACCATCGGTACACCACTGCCCTACACCCTGATACGGTCATCTCTAGTCAGGGGGTGGTGCATTTTTTAGTTTAAATTTATTATAAACAGGGCTGGTGGAATTTTATGGGCATAAAGGAAGATATACGAGGTGCACAAGAGGCACCAATACAAATTCTGATTCTCTTTCTATCCTCCCTCCCTCCGGTTTTTAGATCTCCTTCTACTGCTAGTTGCATGTTGATCAATCCCTGTTGATGTGACAAGAAGCGGAAAGAGAAAGGAAGAAAGAGAAGATGAAGAGGATGACAACACTTCCTTCATCATTCTCTCAACAACTGAACTATTATGCATTATAATTATAGTTGACTTTCATCCTGACTTATATAGACTTATAATAACAGGTAATATTAGTAATAGTCAATAATACTATTAATTTCAATAGTAATATATTAATAAGAGTTTGTAGTAATAGTAATATTAATGATGATTTATTTATGATCAATAATAATTCCTTATTACAGCATTTCAAAGCAAGTAGATCTGCCTTATCACCCTGCACACATTACAGACATCCTGTGCCTCCACCATATATAGATATAGCCAATGTATGATTTAAACTTACGTTATATAGACTTAGGTTATATAGACTTATAATTAGAGTTCAATTCCTTACAATGAGAAAGCAGATACTGAGTGTAAGACAGGAGATTATGCACCCTCCCTGCCTCTTTCCCCATGGGCAGGGGGGAGGACATGCCCACCTCCTGGTTCAAGCTCCCCCCCAGGTCCCTCTGTTCCTGTGGAGAAGAGATATATACCCTTCTGCTTTACATACTACCCTTACTGAACTTGTATTACTTCCTCCTCCTGGTTGCTGGCCACAACTGCTGAGACTTCTCTTCTGTGTACTACTTGAATTGTGGAGGCTTTCTATGCAGGCTTTGGCCCAAGCATCAGCTTGAGTATGGTAAGAGTTGCACAAGTTCTGCAGATCCATTTCATATTATTCTAGCCCTCCTCCTGGTTGCTGGCCCTGTTTGCTAATGAGCATATTATGGAATTGTAATTAGAGGATTGTTGCTGGCCACAAATGCAGAGGCTTTCTTCTTTGTTGCTAGCCAAGACCTCCAGCAAATGCCCTCCTAGGTTACAGGTAGTAGGCCCAGGCCTGCGGGCTCTTCACCCCACTTGCCCACCTCTGCCTTACACCTGTCCATTGCACCCTTGTAACTTTCAAATCATTGCTGTCCACAAAGGAAGCTTCACTCCTGAGCTATGATCACTGCAGCTTCTTCACTGGCTTTGACCCAAGCATCACCTCAATTTGCACAATTTGCTACAGGCCTATTTCATATAGTCTTTTTGCCCTCCTCCTGTT